GAATTGAAGGGCTCTATACAGAATAAAGAGACGAAACCGTGGTTGAAAGAGATAATACCGCTCAGGCAGCAGTGAGCGGCTCAGGGCTTGTCACTGCTACCCAATTGGTAATATCCCTTCCAAGTCTCGCGTTCGTATTTCCAATACTTAGTAATTTTTATGTTGGCGGACATACCTAGAAATACAAAAATTGAGGGCTCGGATCGAAGAGCCGACGCTTGTAAAAGCACAGAACATTGCGAAGCGTTGGTTCTTCGATCCGAGCCCTCAATTAATATTTTAAAACCGAAAATCGACATAAGAACCGTTTTTTTGAAAACCGGTTATAGATTTTCAATACCACACAGGCCTAGAACTTATTGACTTTCCACTATCAACATCTTTTATAATTTTTATTTTATCAACTAAGGCGGGAGGGGGGTCAAGCAATTTATGAAAACTTGCAGAAAAATGGCGTTAATGTTTAATATAACAGTTTGCGACATGGGGGAGGAGGGGTAAAAAATGATCAAAAATAGTGTAACGTAATATATCGATGGTCCTTAATGATGTTTAAGTCATAAGACTTAAGGGGGTAAGGTATTAGATTTTTTAAAAATAAATGCATAATATATTCATCGAGGGACAAAATAAGTGAAACTGGCCACTTGAAAAATTTTTGTCTCCAATTTTCAAGTTATCTATGATTTTTGGTAGATATATGAGTAAATTTTTTCCCCCTACAATATTTTTCAAAAAATAATTTAATTTTTGAAGTAATCAGGTGTTGAAGTTTTAGGTCATTTTATTTTCATTTTATTATTACTTTGAAACAAATAAAGATAATTAAGTGAATTTCTTTAAATTAAAGCTTAAAGTCTATACTTTAAGGATTAAATAAAGCGATTGCTAAAAATTAAAGTTTATAATTGTTATTAACAATTATTTTAAACAATTTCAAATTGAAGAATGTTCTGAGTATTTTTGAAAGATTAAATTACGATGTATTGATGCGCAAAACTTCAAGGATTAATTTAAAAAAGAAATCACTTGCCAGATTTTCTGGTCAATCACTGGACAGAATCTAGAAAAACTTCTGAGTGACTGGTCATTATAGAGTTGAAATTTCTACCTGGGAAGTCGATTTTCGCCTGCATTTTGTCAGAAACTTATTTAATCCTTAAAGTATAGACTTATTTAAGCTTTAATTTAAAAAAAATTCACTTAATTATGTTTATTTGTTTCAAAGTAATAACAAAATGAAAATAAAATGACCCAAAACTTCAACACCTGATTACTTCAAAAATAAAATTATTTTTTGAAAAATATTCTAGGGGGAAAAAGTGAAAGAGCGATTCCTGAACCATAAGAAATGTCCATTGGCAAATTTTTTAAATTTAGTTTTAACTTGTAAAAATAATTTCAAACTTCAAGTATTCTGCATCTGATCCTTAAAGGTTGAATCCTTTTTCTGAAACTTGTTATTTTAGAAGTTCGTGTTTCCGATAACTCAAAATCTACTGGACCAATCGTTTTCAAATTTTGCACAAAGATTCTTTACATAATTCCTCACGTATATCTGGAAGCTATTTTTTAAATTACTAATTTTACAATAACAAAGTAGTCGATTTTTTATAGCGAAAATCGATTTTTTGGCTTAATTCAAAGTTTATTAATATATTTACGAAACGCACTATAAAAATTAAAGAATTATGGTGAAACAGCAAAATAATTATTTTACGTTCAATGGAGGAGTATAAAAAAGTGAGGAAATAGGAGAATTGAAGTAATTAGAAAGTAAATTCTTTAAGTGCACGTTTTCTAAAGTAAATTTACAGTTTATACAATGGCAGGCGTATAAAAGTCATTCAGAACAATTTAAAAGCCCTTGTCCTCAGTATCTACTGCAATAAGTGGGAAAATTGGATTGTGTGTAGATAAGAGTTTTCTCGTTGCTGAAGAGATGAAGTTTCAATATATAGTAACAAGAATACGAAAGCGTAAATAATAGGGAAGGTCGCGTGTTTAGTTCTCGTTCATTATTCTTTACCATCCATTTTCTTATATTTCATAGTTATCCTTTATCTGTCGTTCCAGTATTTTCACTTTGGTATTTTTTTCCAATTAACAAACAAAAGATAGAAGTTTCCAATTCCAAACTATTTTTTAAGATGGTTTTCAATTATAACCCTCGAAGCGGCAAGTAAGGTACTTTCTTATCAAAGCAAAATTAAAACGTAATGGTCAATTTAATTAGATATTGACTGATTTTTAAAAAAACTAAATTTAGTTTTGATTCTTTTTTCACTTTACAAATTTATCAAATTTGCTTGATACTTGCTACTCGGAGGATTTTGGGGTCGCTGATTTCTAATTGGCATCAGGGGGTCTATTATGTAATTTCATTTCACTTTCACGAAATTTTTTTTTTTGCATTTCAAATTCATTTCACTTTGACTTGGAAATATTGTATGTAATATATTACATACATTATCTATAGATAATAAGAAACTTTACTAACTTAAATTTTCTTAAAAGTATCAACAATAAATTGTTAAACGATGCCATTTTGTCCAAGTTGATTCAAGCATTTGGAATCTTTAAATAACAACGTGGCATTTGATGTAGGGGAGACTAGGGTAAACCCGCTCACTTTTTTTCAGATCGGTTAAAATCTAGGAAATTATTCTCTAAATCCAAGTTAATTTATATCATTTGAAAGCTTATGATTTCTACTAAAAAAATAAAAAAGAGTTTTTGATTTATCTTTTTTAGTTTTACTTAGAGAAACTTTTTAATACACATATACCAAATTTCGAAATCACAATTTTCCAGGGTAAATCCGCTCACTTTATCTTTTCATGGCGGAACAGTTTTATTTTTAAAATATTAAAATTCGTCTTATTTCCGTCTTAAGTATGATTTATTATTGATAAACTATGAGTTCTATAAACAATTCTATAAACAACAAATTAGTTTAATAAATAATGAAGATAGATTTCATGAATTACAACAATGGATTTAAATAATGTTATATTTTATTCAGAGAAAGTGAACTGTAGTTACAATTTTGGTTTTAATAAGTCATAAATTTTTTTATGGTTAAAATATAATACGTTAAATTATTTTATTCTAAATTTTAAATTTAAAACTTAGTGAGCGGCTTTCCCCCGATTTCACGTGAGCGACTTTACCCCGAGTGTATTCCTCACATTTCAGAATAAATTTAATTAAATCTTTTTGAAATAAGACAAAACTATATATGTACGTCAAAGAAGGACATCCAATAACAACAAAAAAAATTTGCCAAATAAAGTAGGACTCAAAAATAATGATCGAAAAACTTAAAAATCAAAAAAACGTTTTTTTTCTGACACTTCCAAAAACATTTGATAGCCTCTGATTCTATGTTGAATTCATGAAACTAAACGAAAGTTCGTTAATATAAGTTGAATGTTAAGTACTATTCACAGTACCAATATATTCTCCATCTTAACTTGAGTTCATAGCGTCAAATTGCTAGTGAGCGGGTTTACCCATGAAGTAATATAAGGAGACCGAACGACCATGCAAATTTTGTATTGAAAGTGGGACAGATTTCGGTACCCGAATAGTGGGTGAAAAATACCGAAAGGAACACCAGCGCTGCATGTGGTTAAATTGTTGACTATGAGAAGCACAAAACATAACCTATATTATTTGTTTATGTTTCACTAATTCATGTGTGTCATATATGTTTTCATGTGTTCCTCATATTTTTTAAATATTATCAAAGTAAAATAATTATAGTGTTATTTTCAGTGTTATAATTCTATCAATTGTGAATGAACTGTGTTTTCCATTTTTCCCATGCGCAGCGCTAGTGTTCCTTTCGGTATTTTTCACCTACTAAGCGGGTACCGAAATCTGACCCATTTATAATGTATTTCGTTCGGTCTCCTTATACTACTTCAATACTCCTTATACTGGGTTTACCTTAGTCTCCCGGTCTCCCCTATACGTGAATGTGACATGTTCGTATTACGTGGAATTTAAATCAAAGTGTGAAGGTGAACACTTCGTGGAGTTTAATTAAACTGAAAAAATTTTTTAAAAATCAAGTCAACTTTATAGTTAAATATAAAGTTATTGTGACATGTGTATTAAAAGATCTTGTTTGACTTTATTATAGAATTCAAATTAGAAGTTCACTTTGACCATTGCTAAAGAATTTTTTAAAATAAAAATGCGACTTGTATCAAACTTAAGCAAGCTTAAGTGGTCATAAATCGGATCAGCAGACGCCTAAAAATAATTTACAGAAACAGATTCTAACCAACCCTGAAATTGATCCACGTAGTTCCTCTTTCTTTGGATTGTTTATAAAAAGAAACAATGATGATTCTTTTTTTAATATTACATATTTTAGAATCCAAGAATGGAAATTTGGGATTTTAAGTGCTTCATTATGTTCAAAAATAATAAAACTAGTTATCTCAACTCCTTCACTGGCAGTGCGTTCCAAATGGCGTTCCTGCTAGTGAAGGGGTTAATATTGTACCAAATTATATAATTATAGATTTTTTGGATGCATTCTTTTATAGAATAGTTTTTTCCAAATATAATTTTAATTTATGAAGGAATCGATTTTGGGTACTTGTAAGAATAAATTATTCATTGAAAATTATTAATGAATCAACAAACATTGAAAAGAATCATTTGTTAGAGTTCATCAATCTATTTCGAATTAGATATATTATTTAACAAAATGGTTATTTTCTGAGGAAAAAACAAAAAGATTATTTCAGCATTATTTATCCTTTACCAAGCGAGAAGTGAATTAATGTTACTTAATAAATAAATTATTAATTCCTTATATTTTTTTAATATTAATCCTTTAAATTAATATTTCTTTGCGATTAATAATTTTTTTCTAAAAACTTAGTTAATTTCCCATCCTAAGATATATTTTTCCTTCATAGAAAAATAAAAAAAATCTTTTTTCCTTTAAACGTGAAATTAGTTTTGTTTTCTTATTCCAGGACCTGCGATCCCTCGGTAAATTTCACCGATGTCATCCTTCAGTAAAGTAAACCTCAATCCCTGAGCTAAGAAGAATCTCAACACAACATCGAAAGTGCATCTCAGCTCGAGAGGAGAATCGAAAAAAAAGAAAAATGAGAAAATCTCAACTTTGACCCAGTTTTACCTGAAATCTCAAATATTGACTTTGAACTAATTCAAACATGAAGCCTAAAACCTACAGAACACCGATTGGTCTACTCTTACATGGATTTTAAAGAGGACTTCACAATAAAATGAAAAAAAATAAATCAGTCATCTTCGAAAAAATGTATAGCTCACCTTCAAATTTCTGTACCTCGAACAGTCAATAACTGTATTTTTATTTTAATATAAACAACCTTCTGTAATATAAAAAAGATTTTAATAAGAAGAAAATGATTAATAAAAAAGCAAATATTTCGAAAAAGAAGAAATTATTAAAAAGCATATGATTAAGAAGTAAAAGCTTAAGAAGCAATATTTATTATTTAGAACAATATTTAGAAAAAAAATTGAGAAACAAGAGATTAAGAAGCAGATTATTCAGAAACAAAAGACTTAGAAAGCAAAAGATTTAAAAGCAGATTATTAAGAAGCAGGCAATTCAGTAGTAGATGATTATGAAAGAAGAGTTAGAAATAAAAGTGAAAAATTTATTAATCAATGCATTAATAAAGATAAAGTAAAAATCGAGTGATGCTGAAGTAAATTATTATTAATAAACGAATTATTAATAATACTGAATCGGCAATAATTGACAAATAAAAGATTAATACATAAATTCACACTACAAAGTTAATGTACCAATTTAAAAAAACATGATAAGAAAAATTAAGCTCAAATAATCTAAATCATATAGAAAATTCAGAACAAAATCTAAAACAAGTGAAAAAAGCGAACAATTTGGAAAAATCCTACGAAATGAGAGAAAGATCGTAATGAACAGATGCTGGAATCTGGAAGAATGGATGCCAACAACACCATTATTGTGGACCCAACAAACGAGACAATGATGACTACAATGAACACACACGAGATAATTATTGACACGGGTCAAGGTAATCAGACATGGAACGATTGGCAACACTTTGAACATGTCCTACTTTTGATCACCAAAGCAGCAGTGATGTGCTTTATAATTTTATGTGCCCTATTTGGAAATTTATTAGTTATTGTTTCAGTGATGAGGCATAGAAAATTACGAGTCATCACTAACTACTTTGTCGTGTCTTTGGCTCTTGCTGACATGTTAGTTGCCATTTTTGCAATGAGCTTTAATGCAAGCGTTGAGGTATCTGGAACATGGTTATTTGGTTACTTTATGTGCGATGTTTGGAACTCGTTGGATGTATTTTTTAGTACTGTTTCAATTCTCCACTTGTGCTGTATAAGTGTCGATAGATATTATGCAATTGTACAGCCACTCGATTATCCATTAATAATGACAAACATGAGATTGGGTACAATGTTGAGTGTTGTGTGGTGTTCACCCACTGTGATGAGTTTTCTGCCAATTTTCGCCGGTTGGTACACCACACCCGAACATCTTAAGTGGCGACGAGAAAACCCGAATGCGTGTGTTTTTGAAGTTAATAAAGTTTATGCGGTTATCAGTTCGAGTATTAGCTTTTGGGTGCCTGGCATTATTATGATCGCAATGTATTACAAGATTTATCAAGAGGCTGATCGTCAGGAAAGAATGCTCTATCGGTGAGTGCCAATAAATAAGCAATATAACATACATTTGTACAGACATTTTATACTTTAATTTGTTTTAAGTTCAGCTTAACATTCTACTAGCCACGTAAAGAGTTTTATACCCAATATTCATTGAGGTTAAGCAAATAATATTTTGTTGTTGGAAAAACATAGAATAAAGGCTTTTTCACTACAATTATTTAATATTAACATGCAATATATTTTACTGATGTAAAAATAATAATTAATTATTATTCAAACAAATGAAAAATTTGTTTATTCGGAATTTTTTCACGATACACTTTGATATATTTAGATGAAAAGTAAATTCAATCAATGGAAGGTAAAAATATAAAAACAAAACGTTATTTTGTCAAGTTGCAACATTTCGATGGTGTGGTTTACCATCTCGGTTCTTTTTCTATTTTGTTTCTAGGATGCCTTCTGATAGTTTTGAGCCTAAAATGCAAAAAAATCGGTTAGGCCGTTTTTTAAAAACCTTACTTTTTGTATTTTTTAAAAGGTTAATCAACATATTTTTGCTTAAATATGTTCAAATAAGTGACATATCGAATCCAATCGATCATTTTCATTTATAAAAGCTTCAGAAAACTTAAAAAAATGGATTTTAAACAATTAAAAATAACGTCGCTATTCCATTGTTAATTAAGAATTGCTTAAACAATGCTATGTGTAATAAATAAATTTCGCTATTAGGAACCGAAATCATCAAAATTGTTTAAATAATTATAAATAATGAGTTATAATAATTAGTTCAGCTGGTATTTACTGTGTCCACCTAAATTAATTTTATTCTCGCCTAAATAAATTTTAATTTTACGAAATCTGTTTAATAATTACTCGAAATACGCTTCCCATGGCTGAGTGTTAATCAGCTGGGTTAACCTAAATTAATTTTATTCTTGCCTAAAAAAATTTTTATTTCGCGACATCTGTTTAAAAATTACTCGAAATACGCTGTCCATCGCTGCGTGTTAATCAGCTGGGTCCACCTAAATTAATTTTATTCCTTCCTAAATAAATTTTATTTCGCGAAATCTGTTTAATAATACACGGAAAGAAAAGGTGTGGAAGAGATATCCATAAAAATATTGTTGAGCAGAATATTGTTGTGTTATCCAATTCAATGGAAGAGACAACTTTCAGAATGGAAACACATTCCATATTCAATGGATGAGGGAGCCATATTATATTGTTGAATCAAATATGGATGTGACATCCATTGGCATGGTTAGGCTTACAATTCATGCTATGAATTTTTACATATGGCTGCCTCATCCATATAAACTTTGGTTGGGAGATCCATAGTTAGTACAACATTTCGATACATGTTGCGCGCAATTCATTATCATGGCATCCATTTAAAAATGGTCGTCTTAATTTGTCCGTCGCGTCGGTTTCCTGTCACGTCTATATAATCACGTTGTGAGTTTATTGTGTATAAATAGTGTTATAATTGCTCATTATTTATTATCGTTATTGTCTATTAGTGTTTATGTAAATTCATTTTCATGAAATATGTGTATAGTATATAAGGAATATTATATGCTCAAATATTGTAGTTGCGTGTATAGTGTAGTGGATAGCGTTAGTGTTTAGTATGCGTTAGGTCTAGGGTTCGTGTCTCCCCCATCGGTTAATAATTTATTTCGTAAATATGCGGTTATTCAATAAGTGGTGTGTATTAATTAACAAAAATGTGCATAAAATATCTCAAGTGACATAGAATTTAATTATTTGAGTGATTCTAATTTTTTTGTTTCCCATTTCCATTACTATGGATCACCCAACCATAGATTTTTTGCTGCTCCAACAATATACAGCCAGCCATAGAATATGGATGCAGCAACCTTCACTATGGATATCCCGTATTTTTCAATATAATATAGCTGTGATATCCATGTATCTGGATGTGTCAACTATTCCTTTTTCTCCGTGTAACTCGAAAAACGTTTCCCTAGCTAAGTGTTAATCAGCTGGGTCCACCTAAATTAAATTTATTCTTGCCTAAAAAATATTTAATTATTATTATAATTATGATTTTATTATTATTTATTTACAAAGAACATAATCCGAAATAGTTGTTGACAGATCGTGTTAGTATATAGCAAATTCATTAGAAAATTCGTAGTTATGCACGCGTAATATTGGAAACAATCGTACATGGAAACAAAAGGTTTGGAAGAGATATCCATAAAAATATTGTTGAGCAGAATATTGTTGTGTTATCCAATTCAATGGAAGAGACAACTTTCAGAATGGAAGCACATTCCATATTCAATGGATGAGGGAGCCATATTATATTGTTGAATCAAATATGGATGTGACATCCACAGGCATGGTTGGGCTTACAATTCATGCTATAGATTTTCACATATGGCTGCCTCATCCATATAAACTTAGGTTGGGAGATTTATAGTTAGTTCAAAATTTCGATACATGTTGCGCGCAATTCATTATCATGGCATCCATTTAAAAATGGTCGTCTCAATTTGTCCGTCGCGTCGGTTCCCTGTCACGTCTATATATTATAATCACGTTGTGAGTTTATTGTTTATAGTGTTATAATTTTTTATTATTTATTATCGTTATTGTCTATTAGTTTTTATGTAAATTCATTTTCATGAAATATGTGTAGAGTATATAAGGAATATTATATGCTCAAATATTGTAGTTGTGTGAATAGTGTAGTGGATAGCGTTAGTGTTTAGTAGGCGTTAGGTCTAGAGTTCGTGTCTCCCCCCATCGGTTAATAATTTATTTCGTTAATATGCGGTTATTCAATAAGTGGTGTGTATTAATTAACAAAAATGTGTATAAAATATCTCAAGTGACATTGAATTTAATTAATTGAGTGATTCCAATTTTTTGTTTCCCATTTCCCTTACTATGGATCACCCAACCATAGATCTTTTGCTACTCCAACAATATACAGCCAGCCATAGAATATGGATGCTGCAACCTTAACTGTGGATATCCCGTATTTTTCAATATAATATGGCTGTGATATCTATGTATCTGGATGTGTCAACTATTCCTTTTTCTCCGTGTAGTAATACACGCGTAGTATTATAAGCAAATTCGTAGTTATATACGCATGTGCACTTTTTTTAATATTCTTTTTTTTAATACATATTAAAGTTTTTTGTGATCTAAAGACTTTTTTTAGTTCTACGAAAGATTAACTACTCGATAAAAAAAATTTTATAATAATGATTTATTTGCTTTAGCTGATACGCTTTACAAATGAGAGACGTATCTCGATACAAAAAATACAAGAAATATTAAACAGATTATAATATTCCGTGTAGAAATTGACCGTGGAAGTGTATGAGAAACTGTCCAGTTGCGCTAGATTCAATCTAGCAACTAAATGGAAAAAATGGACAGGCTTGAACGAGGGATGTAACGCTAGCAACGTCAAGATTTTGTACAGTTATTTTGTCTGGAATAATTGTTAGATTTATAAATAATAAAAGAATATGTTTCAACTTTACTCTTTTGTTTGTTTAACTTTTAAACAAACAAAAGAGTAATACAAAAGTATTTGTTATTATCACAATTCCTCTTACATTTATTTTTGAAATTAATTGTAACATATTTTGCTACATTGGATTTTTTCTTTAAAACACAAACACATTCACTATAAAGATTCGTACTTGTATACCGATAATAAAATTAATTGTATATTATATTGTTGCAATCACAAAAAATTCACTTAAAATTACCAAAGTTTTATTATTTATTATGAACAGTATAATATGAAAAACAATCTAAGACTATGAATGATGACATCACATGTCCTTTTTCTAATAAATCTTCTTTTCGCTGTAATATATTTAAACTTGTACACTGTCCCTGTTTAAAAATGGAAAACTAAAAACTTTTCACTAAATTTATAAATTTTATTTTTTCTTCACAACAAGATAAGTTACAATTGTAGACTCTTGGTTTCTTTTCATCAAGCACTACGTCAAGAACTGATTTCGTCTGCTAGCTTAGTAGACTCTCAGAGCCACCTTCTCCACGAACTTGTACTAAATTCTTAAGTCAACGTCCTAGACAGTGCCTAGCTAATTCTTGGACAACCTGCTATACGAACTTGTACTGAATTTTCAATTCAGTATCCTAGACAAATTTTAGCCAGATTCTAGACTGTCTTCATAGCGAAGAAAATAAAGGGGAAAACTGTACATTAACATTTCGGGGCCAGGACAGTTTTTTCAGAATAATTTTCCACGACAAATGCTATCTAGCTGTAGTCTATTTCTAGGAAGGCCACGACAAATTTCTACACGGGATACATTACTTAATTAATTAAATTTCATAAAATACACTCATACTTATATTTATAAACGTAATACACTTGAATCTTGATATAACGAGAAGTGAGGGATCAGAAAATTTCGATATTATGACTGCGAGAGGGAACCCTACTCTTAAACTATTTATTTGTGTAATGGTACGTAACTGTAATTAATGTCATGTGCAAAACGATGCTTAAATGTTTGTGTTCAAATGTTTTAAAATGGTGGGGATAAAAGAGGAGAAATATTTCTATTTGTAACGAGAGTTGACAGTTCGTTGTATCAAGAACTCGTTATATCGAGACTCTTTATATCAAGATTCAACTGTAATAATAATACACTGTAAAAAATTACATTTAACTTTGATTTGGCATTATCTTGAATTGAAGAATGAAATAGAATTGTCTTTCATTAATATGTGACTTAACTTCATCTTGCTCTTGTTTGACGTTTGAAATAACATTATCTCGTCAAAAAAAGAAAATAAATAAAATTAATTTTTTTCGGGTTAATGTTAAATAGAAGATGTTATAGGGTGCTATCATTGTGATACTGGGTAATATTTAGGATGTAGAAAAATTTTGATATCCTCAAAATAGATGATGTTATTCTCTATAATCAACATTGAAAGTAATGGAATCTAGAATATGCTCTATTTGTATCATTAAAGATCAAATTGAAAAT